CAACAAAACATACCACATCGCTATAGAAATCAAAATAGCATGGTACTGAATATCTTATCCTACTTTCCTACAAGTTTCATATAGACATTGGGGATGACAAAACATAAACTGTACTTGATATTATAATAAGTAACTTCAAATTACATTTTAAGGGAAAATAATTCTTTGCTTAAACTCTGGAGTTGGCTAAAACTCCAAATAAAATTTAAAAAGTACCATACTTATTATTTTTATACTAAAACATGTAACCTAGAAGCATAAAATAAGAACTACTAAACATTGACTAAAATATCATTCAGCTCCTCTCACACAGGTAGTGCAGCAATCTGGCTAGGGGAATGAACTCTCCAATTGGGGTGACAGCTCTTTTTACCAACAATGTGACCTCTGGCAGGCTACTTATCCCTTCGGTCTCCATTGCCTCATCTGGAAAATGAGAATAGCAGCAACGATCTACCTCTTAGGATTGTTATGAGTATTAAATGAAAAATACATGTAATGCTCTTAGAACAGTGTCTGATGCATAATAAGTGTTCTTATAACCATTAATTTACATTCATTCCCCTTCAAATGTTATGGAAAAAAATCGCTGTAAAATTTCAGTTTTCAGTGGCCCAGTTCTTTTGGGGTAGCTGCTAGCATTTAAGAATAAACAGTGGGAGGCTGAGATGTAGCCCAGTTGGTAGAGTGCTTGCCTTGCATGCACAAGGCCCTGGGTTCAATCCCCAGCACCCCACCCCCACATACACACACAAAGGAATAAACAGGGGCTGGGGTTGTAGCTTAGTGGTAGACTGCTTGTCTAGTGTGTGGGAGGCACTGAGTTTGTGTCTCAGCACCACATAAAAATAAAGAAATAAATATAATAAAGGTATTGTGTCCATCTAAAACTTAAAAAAAAAATTAAAGAATAAACAGGCTAATATATAGGGAGCCAAAGAATAGATCACAGTCGATAATCCAAGGGGCAACAATAGATACACACACAAAAAAATGAGCACATGAAAAGGCAAGGCATTCTAAAACTTTAAACTGCCAAGTATCAATGATCAGATGCTTTATCATAGTGCATAGAATGCCTAGGATCTGGTGCTACTTCAGCTGGCAAAGCTTAGCTATCATCCTTAGGTAAATCACCTAATCTCTCTGGGACTAAGTCTCTTTGTCCATAAAACAGAGCTGAATCTGTCATCACTGGAAAAGCCTGATGATTTTAAGATAGCTCTTTAACTCTTTAACCTAGTCAATTAAAACCCCTGTATGTCAAGATTCTGTATATTTAATTGTTCACCAACAGAATAATGAGGCTTATTGATATAGTCAGCCCTATAAGAAATGGTTAGTCACTTTAAAAATCCCATAAAATCTCCAAATAATTATTTTGGGGGGCAGAGAGGATAATTCAATTTTAAAATATGACTCAGAGATGAGGCAAGTTTACTGCCAATCCTGGATTTCAATAGCAGCAGCCTTCATAGGGCTTATGGTACGCTTTTCTGGTGTCACAGTTTATTCCTGGTTTTACCTATAATTTTTACACACCAAAATACTTAAAAGCAAAATTTCCTATGATGGGCACATAGAAGTAATGACATTTAGCCTCATTCTTCATTATCAATGTCTCCAAAATAGTATTTTTAAGCAATTCTTTGGTTACTGAAAAGTTCCAAATTATTCCCTTTACACAT